ATTTATTACAATTAGGTTTGTTTGAAAAGGTACGTTTGAAGATTTTGACTGAATGAATGACGAAAACTCGCGGAGTGGAAAGAAGCGGCAAAAGTTTAGAAAGAAAACTGTCTAAAACTACCGTAGGTTTAGAGAACCCTGCGTCGCTGGCAGGATTTCGCGCGAGTCCTTACTTCCGTAGTTCAGAGCCGATAAACAAAATGGCGAGGCCGCGAGGAGAATGGTGCGTAGTCAAGCATCACGGCCTCAGTCCCAGGCCGCCGAAAACAAGCACTCGCGGGCAAAATCCCACCAGGCAAGGAGCTAGTCCCCAGGAATCAAGGGTTAGACCCAGCTTGTGCTGTATTCACTAGCTTGATAGCTTCTTGTTTAGAAGATTTAACAGGAAGTGAGATCTGACCACAAGAAAAATTATCATTCTGAGAGGACGGTTCCAAGACTTCCGAATTTTCGAATTCCCCTTATTTGATGTAAATTATATCTCCACTAAGCAGGCAAAGACGTCATAAAAAAGTAACTAAAATGTTCATTTCCCGTTGTTTAAAATCTTTATTTCGAAAACTTGTAATTATAATGATATTCCTAATGTTGCCAAAACATAACACTGACAATATTTCGTCAAGGCTGGTCGACAAATGGCTGCTGCATACGAGCCATCATGAAAGAAGGGACTCTCCTGAACCATTAGTAGTCCATTGCAAATCAACGATTTCTGGATAACATAAGTTGTTTTCGTTAAACGTAACTAATTTTTCTACGCTTTGTTCTCTATTTGCACTGTTAATATTTTCATTATAGCCACAGCTATTTCCATTTACAATATCATTTATTTCAATGTTTTTTTTTAATATATATTGGCCCCATGAGGGGTTGTCAATTAATTAATTACTTTGTGCATTTTTATACGTATACCTAAATGAATAAATAATTAAAAACATTTATTCATTCTTAGTTAAACTTTCATGCCTAAGTTTTCGTGTGCATTGGAATTTTTTCTCTAGGTTAATTATATAAATTTAAGGTTATACTGAGTGTAAATATAGAATAAATTACCTTCGTCGATTTTCTTTTTTAAATACAACAAATAAACACAGACACATTGGTTCAAGTTGCGGACGTAATTTTGGGAGTATGCAATATTTATTATGCTATTTAACGGATCACATAAACCGCAGCGTTCTTCTGAAACTTGAGATATATAGCTGAACACTGGACTAGTAATTCCCTTATAGGGTGTCCGTTTAATACGGGTTTGACCGTATGAGGAAAACATTTTTTTTAAAAGGAGCTACGTCACGAATTGTGGATCTGAAAAGGTTTAGCCTAAATTTTTCAAGTTCTTCATTTGTAATCCGTGTTAATCTTCTTCATCGTTAACCATCCTTGCCCCTTTATGGTTTATTGTTATCTCTTTGGTGTTTCTCAATCTAAGTAAACTACTATTTTCAGGTTTCCGTCAACTTAAAGGTCATTTCGTGTCCTGGCCAAAATAACCGGGACAAAATACCGTGATTTAGCTCCTTTAAGGCGTCAAGAAGCTTTGATTCAATAACGTTTAGTTTTTGATAACATTGAACTCTGGTCCATACGGGAACTTTGTAATATCCTCACTGTCTGTGTCCCTGACAACCAATATGTCATGCTCTCTGTATCCACCCGCCCCAGGCTGCCCCTCGGGGACTGTGATCATAGGCTCCATAGATACCACCATATTAGGCTGTAAGACTGTTTCTATATCTTCGCGGATTTCTAAACCCGCTTCGCGGCCATAATAATGACAAAGAACACCGAAAGAATGTCCGTAACCAAACGTGCGGTACTGTAGTAAGTCGTGCTCAAGATACATTTCGTTAAGCTCGTGTGCTATGTCGCTACACCGAGCACCCGGTCTGATTAGATCCAGGCCCATGCGGTGAACCTTGCAGTTGATTTCCCATAGTTCCATGTGTCGGTCTGTTGGTACGTGATCACAAAACATCGTGCGCTCCAGTGCCGTGTAGTGTCTAAAAGAAAGAAAAACGCAAGAATCAAATAACGTAATTGAAGAGAATGCGAACCACTTGTGAAGAACGTCAAGGTGCTGTTCGAGTACCTGTCACATGAAATGTTTCTTGTTTTCAGTGAACCCTACTCAGGCCACGAGAAGTGCCCGCGAGGCCTTCAAATCGCTTGTTTCTATCCTAGAATCACGACAGAATCCTGACTTCATGTTGTTTTAACTCGAAACATTTTATTGTTCTATTGTTCATTGTTCTATTGTTCATTGATGTTTCCACGACAACCCTATTTTGACATGCATGTTTTCTCCAGACTTACCCGGCGATCATGGGAAAGCAGTTCAAACTGAGAATGTCTCCTTTCTGCAACCGACGGGTGGTGACTGGGTTATGAGCTCCGTCTGTGTTGATTCCTGACTGGAACCAAGTCCACGCTAATTAAAAACAACGACAAAATCAACATTAACATTAACAACAAAAATAATTTGGGCTTCCATTCAAAGGTATCTTTTTCTGAGCGGTTATATGAATGATGATACTCTCGCTGACCAAGCCAAAGCATGAGCCCTTCAGGTTATATGTACGCTTCATGTGACCAGGCCTGTACCTTGCAGACGAGTGGAAATTAGGCGTAGTGTTCACTTAAGAAAAGAGCCTGGTCACCCCATCTTTAAAGAGCGAGAGACCCTTGTCGTAGGGTGACCCTATTCCAGAGTGCACCCTCCCCCCCTTCAGAGCGCACGAGAAAGAAAAATAACTTAAATGTAAATTGCTTTGTTAACGCCCGTGGCATAGAGCAGATCAGTATAAGGAGAAAGCAGTCATAACATAAGAAAAACTAGCAAGTGTCTCACTCTAACCCTATACTAGTTTGAAACTCTAGACAGGTCTCCTGGATTGGCGTTGTTTAAAGGTTAATGCAATAGTGCTATACGAACATAGCTCTATCGGTAAATAGCTGAGAAGACTGATCGGGCTATTCACTCATGAATGTCTCCAACTTATACGTTACATGCGATAGCCACAGAATAGAACATCTCAAATACCGAAATCACGAAAATTCGTAAACAAGATGACATTATCGCAGGAATGACAAGAAAGAAATGGTACTGGGTCGGGCCCGTAGAAAAATAGATTTGGGTAATACTACGAAAAAAGCTTTGTTCAGGACGCCAGATTGGATGAGGAAGTTGTGGAGACCCCCCAAAAACTGGAGAAGAACCGTAGCAAAAGAACTGCCTTCTGCAGTATCTGATGTGCGGTGGAACCCGAAAGTCGGAACAGGACCGGTCCATTTGGAGAATTACTGTGTAAGCCTTTTACACGTCAAAGGACAGATGATAATGATGATGATGATGATNACCAAGCCAAAGCATGAGCCCTTCAGGTTATATGTACGCTTCATGTGACCAGGCCTGTACCTTGCAGACGAGTGGAAATTAGGCGTAGTGTTCACTTAAGAAAAGAGCCGGGTCACCCCATCTTTAAAGAGCGAGAGACCCTCGTCGTAGGGTGACCCTATTCCAGAGTGCACCCCCCCCCTACCCCTTCAGAGTGCACGAGAAAGAAAAACAACTTAAATGTACATTGCTTTGTTAACGCCCGTGGCATAGAGCAGATCAGTATAAGGAGAAAGCAGTCATAAAATAAGCAAAACAAGCAAGTGTCTCCCTCTAACCCTATACCCGTTTGGAACTCTAGACAGGTCTCCTGGATTGGCGTTGTTTAAAGGTTAATGCAATAGTGCTATACGAACATAACTCTACCGGTAAATAGCTGAGAAGACTGATCGGGCTATTCACTCATGAATGTCTCCAACTTGTACGTTGCATGCGATAGCCACAGAATAGAACATCTCAAATACCGAAATCACGAAAATTCGTAAACAAGATGACATTATCGCAAGAATGACAAGAAAGAAATGGTACTGGGTCGGGCCCGTAGAAAAATAGATTTGGGTAATACTACGAAAAAAGCTTTGTTCAGGACGCCAGATTGGATGAGGAAGTTGTGGAGACCCCCCAAAAACTGGAGAAGAACCGTAGCAAAAGAACTGCCTTCTGCAGTATCTGATGTGCGGTGGAACCCGAAAGTCGGAACAGGACCGGTCCATTTGGAGAATTACTGTGTAAGCCTTTTACACGTCAAAGGACAGATGATAATGATGATGATGATGATGATAATGACGATGATGATGATGATGGTGATAATGACGATGATGATTCGACATCACAAGAATTCAGAACAGTATACAAAGCTTCAGACTGGTCACTGCGAATTGGGTTACAGCAATACATTGAATAGATGATTCTTATCTAAGATTGCCAGCATTTGCGCATTATTTTGATTTCGATAACTAAAAATCGTAACTTACTGTCTCGTATTTCGCTGTGAGGATATGTGTCGGCAATTTCTCGCACCATGGCGTCGGTTGATGCTAAAGCAATCTCATGTTCGCCCACACCTTCCTTGATTGCCTTCACAGCCGCTTCTCCACCAAGATCAGCAATGCGTGCACCTTGTTTAATAAGTTCTATCTCCTCAGGCGACTTCAGCATGCGCATTTTCATGGTCGGCTGACTGACATCTACGAATTTTGCCTTCGGCAAAGCATCGGAAAACTTTCGATAGCTGTCGAGATGGACGAAGTCAAACTCCACTCCAACCGTCTTCACATCTCCAATCTGGAAGAAAAATGTGATATTGGTTCAATACGAATAATTAAATAGAACTGTAAAAAATACAAACTTGCTTGAACCTGAAATTTCATCAGTTAATTATCTTTTTTTTTTCTAATTTTCAGTTCTCTCTGAATTGTTTTTTCAATTATTTCGCTGGGATATATATATATGTAGTTTTTTTTGCACTAAATCGCGGGCATTTGTCTATTAGAGGTATAGGCCAAGTCTGTATAAGAACCAAGTGGCCTGTCAGGCCGGTGCTTATCGTGGTTTAGTGGCATGAGGCGACTGGNCCCCCCCCAACCCCTGAATGAGATGATGATGCCAGTCCCTCCCTATACTCCGAACCGCTCGATCCGGAGGCCAGCTCACTAACTATGAGGCCACACCTCCGGTCCACTATTAGAGGTACACCAACGTGGCTAATTTTGGTCAACAAGTGATTGCGTGACAGACAACGTCAGTGGTTGTTCTTGATAGCCCATAACACAGTGCAGATAATCTCTGATACAAACCTGTTGTTGCACAGCATAGTAATAATTGTCTCTTTGCCAGTCCGTATAGACGATGTTATCGCCGAATGTCCGGCGCCATGGCTGACCGTAATCAATACCTACAGAGACAAAGAACGTGCGTGTCGAAAGCCCGTATGAACTTCCACTAGCCATTACAAGTATCTAACGCCAAAACATCTGCGTACTTTTCAATATGTCCTATAAATCATCGAGGCTTAATCATCTTTCTATCGCATATCCTGGACAATATATATATCTATATAATGTCGTTGGCGATAATTTATGCAACTGGAAACGGCAGAGTTCCACCGCCTGTATCATAGCATGCACACTTCATTTTTATGAAATTTTTTCCGCGTACTCACAACCGCGGAAGCGTGGATTTTACAGTTTTTCAGTGCACGAGATTCCGAACCATTTTCGAAAGGTGTGCAAAACATCCTTACCAGCAGAGACGCTCATTGCCTTATTCGCAGTGACAATAAACGCATAGGGGCGTCCAAAATAACAATACAAGAAGTCACTGAAATAGTGAACGTTGTGATAGGACGTGAATACGCATGCGTCAATTTCATTTGCCTCCATGTGGTGTCGTATCATGTGCAGACGGCGCTGCATTTCCTGGGACGAGAAAGTCGGTTTCACCTGTAATTGGACAACAACGGTGATGAATTGTTTAGTCAAGATTGCCAGCTTGTCCCAGGCGCGCAGAATTTGAGACAAGTGTGGGAGAGACGTTGAAAGCGAACAAAAAGAAAACAGACGTGGAAGTAAAATTCAATCCGCTGTACAAACAGTTTCAGTCTTTTTGCCTGCTNTGATAGGACGTGAATACGCATGCGTCAATTTCATTTGCCTCCATGTGGTGTCGTATCATGTGCAGACGGCACTGCATTTCTTGGGACGAGAAAGTCGGTTTCACCTGTAATTGGACAACAACGGTGATCAATTGTTTCGTCGAGATTGCCAGCTTGTCCCAGGCGCGCAGAATTTGAGACAAGTGTAAGAGAGACGTTGAAAGCGAACAAAAAGAAAACAGACGTGAAAGATAAAATTCAATCCGCTGTACAAACAGTTTTAGTCTTTTTGCCTGCTGCTAGCTGGAACAGGTTGAGGGGTAGTGAAAAAGGCGACAAATGTAGACGATTGTAACTAAGACGCTATGACAGTATAAAGTGGGTCGTTGTAACTATTCTGTCCTGAATAATGTCACTGTCTCAAGTTCATTTTGACACACCTAATTGAAGAAACATTATCATGAAAAAGGTATAAACCATAAACGATACGACACGGTGGTTTTCTTGGAAACTTGCGAAGTAATATATATACTATTGTGCCTCCTTATGGACTGTGTACGTGCATTAAAACGGATATTGTGGCACTATTAAACTACTGGAAGGCTAAGCAGTTTCCGAGTTTTTCTAAATCACAACTCCGCGCAGCTGACCTGGATCATTAAACGCCAAGAGGAAACAATATATCTTGAATATTCATACACGCTTTTTCATTCTCCCCATAACTCCATGAAGTCGTGTCAATTATTGTTTATACTTTTTTCGGGCAATGTTTTTGCAACCAGGTGTGTACAGTATATATTCGGCATGCATCGTTCCATATTTGCTCGGTACACGATTCAAGGCTGATAAGGCCGAAAGTAATAAGAATCGTTACTTTCAGTGCTTTATGGTAGTTCCTTAGCTACCTTTTCGCCATTCTGACATTCCATTGTACGTATTTGTTTGTGATCACTAAGTGCCACTGCCGAGAAACATCGCTGGAGGACTGGTACCCAG